TGGGTTTGCAAGCTGGTCCGAGGACCAACTCACAGAACCCTTCCTGGGACCCCTTTGGTCCCTGCATACACAGTCATGTGGCCGTTGGCCTCAGTCCTCTCAGGGCCTTACCAAACAGCCCGAGAGTGAGTCTGAACCAGGCCCCTGTGTTGTGGCACTGCCCCCTGGCAGCTGGGCTCTGGCATGGGTTTCTGTAGTCTCTCTGGAGCTCAGGTTCATGGCCCTGGGCAGAAGGACAAGTGGTCCAGTGGCCCTCCCAGCCCTGCCGTTCCCTCAGTTTCAGAGCTGTCCTCGCTGTCCCCTCCCCTGCTTATTTAATGGCCCATGTGCCCATTAGCACTGGAGTCTTTAACTCCAAGGGTGACTGCAGAGGGTCATCCTGGGTACTGGCCAAGGGACTGAAAGTCCTTGCAACAATTTAGGCTGGCTGGACTGGGAAGGGCTGGAGCTCGCAGGGGCCATGTTGGACCTATCTGGGCTCTCTAGCCCAGTGGGGGTTTCTGAGTGACTGAGGGTCCCTGTTCTCACTTTGCTGTGTTTTGTGGGTGGGGATGAAACCCTGCAAGCCCTCCTGGGGCAGCCTGGTGGGGTGAGGATTGCAGTTGCAGCATTCTGTCTGCTGTGTGTTTCCTGGGGAAGTGACCCAGGCCTTTCCTGTATGAAGTCCTGGGCTCCAGGCAGCAGGAGCTGGCCTTGGCTGGGGATGCTGGCTGTCCCCTCTGCCTCTGACCTCATTCTGACTCTCTCCTGCCCCTGAGCAGGCCCCTTCCCAGTGGCCTCTGCAGCTTGTCCCAGCTGCTGGGCTCTATCTCTACGGGAATAGGGTTGGGGGAGCCTGGAACAGAGAGCTGAGGGCCGAGGGGGGATAGGGACGGAAGACAGAAGAACATAAGTGGTGGCCCGAGCTTGCCTGAGGACCGATCTCTCCCTAACCCAGGTGTTCAGGCATCTGGTCCAGAAGCTGAAGTGTGTAGAAGACAGGAGACTCTGGCTCAGGCTGGACTCGAGGGGACTAGGGTCCCCCCTTCCTCTGAAATCTCTGAGTCACAGAGCTGGCCTCGCAGCCTGGAAGTGTGCGAGGAGGAGGGGCCTCCCTCCAAGTGCAGGGTGGGCCCTTCTTCCCCTCTTGGCCCAGGCACTGGGCAGTCACTGTGGGGTGGTCCAGCTGTTTTGATACTTCCTGCTATTAGGAGTTGGGATTCGGGCTTTTCTTCCCCAGGGGTGGAGGTGACCGTAGGCCTCCCAGACTGCTGTGTCCTCTGTCTGTCAGCCCCTCCAGCCTGTGCCCTTAGGACCTACAGAAGAGAGTCGCTGTGGCCAGAAGCCCGGACCACACTGGTGGACGAAGCGTGGGCTCCTAGGAAAGGCTGCCTCATTCTCAGGCAGGGTGTTGTAGGCGATGGCAGGTAGTCCTTGCCGGGGAAAGGCACCAGGGCTGGATGTCTGAGATCTGGGGCCCCATCCCCAGCCTGAGCCATCATTTTTCTTTTCTTTCTTTTTCTTTTTTAGAAATTTAAAAATAAAGTTTAATAATTTTTTAAAATGAATTTTGCTAAAGGGTGCACTCGCTGGAGAGAGAGAGATAAAGCATCCCTTCTTATCTGTTCTTCTCTTGGGATCTTGGACACGCATCTGCATGCGCTGGGCGTGTTTCTCAAGTTGCCAGGTCCAGGACTCGAACTGCGCAGTCGGCCATGTGGGATCCAGCTACCTGAACACTATACCTCCAGCTGGCCCCGAGCCTTCATTTCTTGCTCATTGAAGTGAACAGCCCCACAGAGGGGTCAGTCTGCTGCGTCCTGGATGTCCAGGCTCCTGTAGGGCCACCTTCTTGGGGCCTGAGGTTTCAGTGGTGGGACCCAGAGCCTAGGCAGGCCTTCTGGGTGTCTCTCAAGCCATAGCTGCCAATTGAACAGTGTTGGCTTGTACCATGTCACGTGACTTCTTCGATTCTTTTATCTTTATCTTTTTTTTTGGAGAGGTTTTTGCCATAGGGCATGTGCGCTCACCAGAAAGACAGAGACATAGAGACAGAAAGCGAGAAATCACCCCCAAGGGGTGATGGCCACGCCGCAATTCCTTCTCCTCCATTCTCCTCTCGGGATCTTGGGCACACATACACACGCACCCGGTGTGAGTTTAAGCCACCGGTCCGGTACTCATACCGCGGCCAACTACATGGGAGTCCAGCGACATACGCATTATGCCAGCTGCTGGTCCCAACTTCTTTGATTCTTACAGCACCACCTGCAGTTTGTTTTTATTAGAGAGAGATTTTTGCTATAAGATTTGTGTGCTCACAGGAGAGACTGAGAGACAGAAAGTGAGAAATCACTCCCCAGGGACGATGACTATGCCACAATCCCTTCTCCATTCTCCTTTTGGAATTTTGGGCACACACGCACACATGCCTGGCATGAGTTTCAAGCTACCGGATCTGAGACTCGAACTCCAGTCGGTCATGTGGGAGCCTAGTGACGTCACCATTACATATGCCATTTGCTGGTCCACCACCTGCAGTTTTAACCCCCATCCTAGGTGGGAGAGCAGGTCCAGAGAGTTTCAGGAACATTCCCAAGGGTTTCTTTGTATCCTAGGTCAGAGCCGGCAGGGCTCCTGGGCCCCAGCCTTCCCTCCTGGAAAGATGATTTCGGGCCTGAGCAGAGCCTGAGAAGACGGTTCGGGCTAGAACTGGGTCAGGTTTCCCTGCTGCAGCCAGAGGAGCCTCCCAGTCCCCTGGATCCAGCAGCCCTTGATCTTGAGGCAGAAGCACTGATTCCAACACCCCGCCCCACCCTACCTGCCGTGGCCGGGCACCTGTGGGCCTGGACTGAAGGCCTGCCACCTTCCCAGCTTGCCACTGTCCACTGGCCAGCCACATGACCCCAAGCAAGTCCCTTTGCCTTTACAATGGGGACAGTACCTCAAGTGCTGCTGCGAGCTGTTCTTTTTTTTTAGTTTATTTCCTCTCTAAAACAGGGAGCAGGGTGGGAAAACAGCACCCCAAACAGGGTCTCAACACCATGACCCACCCCTAGCTTCAGCCAGCCCCGAATCATGGGCAAGCCCTGTGTACTCAGGGAGGACTTTGGACACCAACCTGGAACCTTCTCGTGTGAGTCTGCCTCACAGAGTATTGGATATTACCAGTGTGTCACCATCTGGTCCCTGCTGAGAGGTTTTTTTTTTTTTTTTTTAGACTTTTGTTTTTGCCATAGGATGTGTGCACTTGCCAGAAAAAGTGAGAGAGACAGAGAGAGGGAAAGTGGGAAATCACCCCCGAGGGGCAATGGCCACATTGCAGTCCCTTCTCCACCACTCTCCTCTTGGGGATTTTGGGCATGTACATGCACCTGGTGTGTTTTTCAAGCCTTCAGGCCCAGGACTTGAACCATGGAGTCAGCCGTGTGGGGTCTAGCACCTTCACCACCATGCCAACTGCTGGCCCAAGAGAGTTTTAAATAAGGTGGCATGTAGGGTCTGGCACAGTGGGTGTCCTCTAGGTGTAGACCCCGGCCCCTGGGACTACCACAGCACTGTTTCTGGCAGAAGGGCTGCCTCAGGGACCCTTTGACACCAAGATTCCCCTCACCCTCCAAACAAGGGGACTAGGAGAGATCCCCTAGTGGTGTAAATACAGTTTTTTGTTTTGCTTTGTTTCTTTCACAAGCGAGTAAATGTGCATGACAGAGAGGGACAGCACTCCTAGCAGAGGCTGGTCACGCTGCTCTCCCCCACCCCATAGCCCTGTAGCTAGGCAGGATCTTGAGTGCGCATGCCTGGCATGGTTCGGGTTGACTCCGGATCCAAACCTGCAGTCAGTCATGTGGCTTCCAGCACGTCAGACCAGCTTGCTAGTGACTGTGCTAAGGCCGGCCAGCACTGCTGATGGAGTGATCAGTCTAGGTATCTGTCCCAAGGCCCGGCCTGAGGAGCCTCAAGGCCATACTCTGGCCAGTTCAGAGCAGAGGGCAGGCCGAGCTGGGCAGTTGAAGGCCTATGGAGGCCGGGAGTGTTCTCGCTGCTGGACTCTCTGGGTGCTCAGTCCCTTTGTGTTACGAAGGGGAAACTGAGGCTGGCAGGCTGCCTCTTGAGAGCAGGGAGGATGGCTCAGTCTCCAGAATAGCCTTTCATCCTGCCCCTGCAGCTCTCCAGAGTCCCAGGACCTCCTTGGCCTTGTGCTCCCCCTTCTGTGTGGGCCTCCCAGAGCCCCCTCCCCCCACTTCCCCCCTTGTTATCAGCGCCTGGCCCAGCCCCCACCCCCCACCCGGCCACTGCTGCTCAGAAGCTGCTGGCTCAGGAGTCCCGGGTTTTGCTGAGTGAGCAAGTCCAGAGGTGCTGTCTTGGCACAAACCAGGCTGCTGGCCCGAGCCTTTTCCTCCCTTCTCTCTCCAGGGTCTGCTTCCACGGGGGGAGTGTAGATGGGGAAGTAATGAAGGCAGAGGCCCCACACTGCCTCCAGGGCCTTCAGCTTCAGGGAGGGGAGGGTCCTGAGGCCCAGAAAAGGGGAGGCCTGCAAGGGGTCACAGGGCAACCAGAGGAGAGCTGGGACTGGGCTGTTTGCAGAACCTATACTGGTGGCCTCTTTGTCTGGTCCACCCTGGAAGGTAGATCATTTGCATAAAATGTGCGTGAACTGTGGATGAAGACAGCTTCCACTTCAGTGCCTCCTCTTTGCCAAGGTTTTGCACCCATCCCGATCCATTCGGTGACCTTTGAGGTAGGGCCTCCACTAGGACTGATGCATTTACTGTCGTCTGACAGATGCGAACTGAGCGCTGGCTCTGTGTCAATCACAGCCCTAGGTCCTGGGCTGGAGAGGGTGGTTGATAAAGACGAAGAAGCCCTTCCTTGCCTTTAAGAGACCTCATGTTTGGTCATCCTGCCATCGTGACAACCCCAGTTGCGGATGGAGAGACTGAGGCCCATGTGGCAATGCTCAGCTCTCCAGCGCTCAGGACCCCATCCTGTACCTGCTGATGTCCTCGTTTGTCTCGCAGCCAGCCCCAGCCAGACGAGGGCCTCCCACCGCCCCTTACAGCTGTCCCGGTCCCCTGGAAGAGTGTCGGGCCCTGCAAAGGCTGCAGGGAGACCCCGGGAGCTGTGGTGGAGACCTCTGCAGGGGAGGAGGCCCAAGGTGAGGAGGGGCCTGCAGCTGCCCAGCTGGACGTGTCGCGCCTGCGCAGCTCTTCCATGGAGATCCGCGAGAAGGGCTCGGAGTTCCTGAGAGAGGAGTTGCACAAGGCCCAGAAGGTGGGGGCCTCAGGGAAGGGTGGAGGGGGCTTTGGGGAGGAAGGCTCTGCCGGAGAGATCTGTGGGCTATCCCGAGAAATATGTCAAAGGACTTGTTCACTTACCAAGGCTGCCTACGTGCCAGGCCTGTGCTGGGCACATGGGAAGCCCACAGGAGACCAGTTCTTATGTCTTTTTTTAATTTTCCTGAGAGATTTTTGCTATAGGGCACATGTGCTCACCATAGAGGCAGAGAAAGACAAAAAGCAGGAAATCAGCCCCTAGGGGGGATGGCCACACTATAATCCCTTCTCCTCCAGCCTCCTCTCAGGATTTTGGGCACGCATTCACATGCACCTAGCATGAGTTTTAAGCCACCAGATCTGGGATCTGTGGTCGAATAGTGGGAGTCCAGCAACATAACCATTTCACCATCTGCTGGTCCCAAGTTCTTTTTGTGCTACAGGGCGCATGCACTCGCCAGAAAGACAGAGACAGAGAGAGACAGAAAGCAAGAAATCACCCCCGGGGGGTGGCCACACCACAATCCCTTCTCCTCCATTCTCCTCTCAGGATCTTGGACACTCATGCACACGTGCCCGGTGTGAGTTTAAGCCATTGGGTCTGAGACTTGAACCTCAGTCGACTACATGGGAGTCCAGTGACATAGCCATTACACCAATTGCTGGTCCCTCAAATTCTTGTGTCTTTTAAAGGACATTCGCGGGGGTTGACTTAGCAGAAAATCTGCCCCAAGGGCTAACGGATGGACGGGTAGGCCTTTAACCTCATGCTACAGGCTGGACGGGCAGTCTGAGGGCCCAGAGCCCCCCACGAGATGGCCTAGGGGATGGAGTCTGGGCACATGGGCCTGCTCCCTGCATCCCCTTCGTACCAGGCTTCCCTCCCCCAAGGCTGACAGCCCCTGCCTTGTGCTGCCCAGGAGCTAAAGCTGAAGGATGAGGAATGTGAGCGGCTGTCCAAGGTGCGGGAGCAGCTGGAACAGGAGCTGGAAGAGCTGACAGCCAGCCTATTCGAGGTATGGTAGCCGTTTGGGAGCCAGTCTGAGGGATGGTAGCTTGACCGTCTCCTTGCCACTCACACAAAGCTGCCCTCTTCTCAGGAAGCCCACAAGATGGTTCGAGAAGCCAACATGAAGCAAGCAGCATCAGAAAAACAGCTCAAGGAGGCTCGCGGCAAGGTGAGGCTCATCCCTGCCTGCCCAGGTCAGCCTGAGGCTCCAGCCCTCTCTGGGCCCTGGCATTTTTGGCCTTGGCACCCAATGGGACCCTCGCATGGCCCCGGGGAGGGCGGGAAGCGGGTGTCTGAGATCACTGCCTGGTGCACTGGGATGCCACCAGTGATTCTTCTGCACCACCAAGACTTTTCTGGGGCTGGGAGGATCCTGTAGTCATTGTAGTTTCTTCTCCCTCCTCTCATCCCCTTTACAAACCAGAACCGCCTCTGCCTGTGAGCGGCACACAGCTTCCTCTCTCAGGGCCTGTTTGCCCATCTGTAAAATGTGAACAGCCCCGAATGGGCTGTTCCTGGCTCTGGGGAGGTGCAGAACTCTCAGTGGGAAGCCCAGCCAGCTCCCAGACACTCGCTCGGAATAGTCTCACTCCGTGTGCCCTTGGGCAGGCTGTGTCTCCTCTCTGAGCCTGAGAGTGCTATCTGCAAACTGAGTGTTTCTGTCTCCACCTTATAGGCTGTTAAGTGGGGTTAGGTGCTAGCTTTTAGGTGCTTGGGGTGGACTTTCCTGAGCTGGTCCGGTAGGTGGTGCTGGCCAAGGTGGCACCAATCCTGGCTTAGGGTTGATGACCATTCCATCCCGGCCAGATCGACATGCTGCAGGCGGAGGTGACAGCCTTGAAGACACTGGTCATCACGTCCACACCAGCCTCTCCCAATCGTGAGCTCCACCCCCAGCTGTTGAGCCCCACCAAGGCCGGGCCCCGGAAGGGCCACTCACGCCATAAGAGCACCAGCAGTGCCCTCTGCCCTGCCGTGTGCCCTGCTATCGGACACACTCTCACCACAGACAAGGAGGGCAAAGAGGTGAGGGGCGGCAGGTGGGCGGTGGGCCCAGGAATGGGGACACAGTGCCCACTATCAGCCAGGTTTCGGCTAGCCCCTTGCTGTGTGACCTGGAGCCTGACCCCTCCCTCTCCAGGCCTTTGTGTCTTCTTAGCTGTGAGAGCCGGGCAGGTTCCTTGTCAGCACCCTGCAGTGAGAGGAGCTGTTTAACCCTCGGCCTCCAGGGTATACCATCTGGGGGCCTGGTGACCTGATCCTCACCCTGCTGACTCGGGTGGTGGTCTTAGCACCTGAGGTGGACTTTTGCCTTTAGGAGCCTCTGCTGAAATACATACTCCTTTGGCCTTGTGAGTCTGATGGGGGCTGCTGGGCCTCTGGGGACAGGCCTCCTGGACCCTGTGTGGCCACAGCCTGAAGCCCCAGGATGACTTGTGATGCCCTTGTACTTGAGGGTCTTCAGTGTACTCTGGCTGTGGTATCAAGGCAGTGTGGCCATTTGGAGGGTCGTCCCTTTCCCGCTTGGCTGGGCACATGGAGCACTTGGTTCAGGCCGGGCAATGGGCTAGAACTTGAGGCCAGCACTCATGGCCGTGGGTTCCTAAGCAACCAGGTCCACTGGCTGGCCCCTCCATTTCTATATGCTCACGTGGTAAGTGGGGCCTCCTGAGCTGCAGATGTCCAGGGCTCAGCGCAGGACTGCACCAGTGACCACACAGCAGAGCTGGGGTGGCCTCCAGCTTCCTGGGTCTCAAACCAATACCTCCCGGCTCAGTCCTGGCCTCTGTCACTCTAAAGCTTCCAGGGAGGAGGCCCAGGCAAAGCCTCTTGTCCATCTTCTGAGTTTCCAACTAGACACTAACATCTCCTCCTCCCTCTTGTCTGTCTCTGTGCACCTGTCTGTCTGTCTGTCTGTCTGCCCCGCTGGCCCAGCCTGGGCTGCCCCCTCTGCTCTCTCTGCTGCTCTGCGTGGTCCCCAGCAAGGCGGTTCACCTCACCTACGAGCCAGCCTGGCAGCTCCCACCTGGGGAGCAGCCTGCCGCCCCCACCTCCGCTACCTCTCTCTCCTTTTCCCGACAGGTAATGGCTCCAAAAAGGGGCCACCCCGGCACCTCTCTGTCTTGCTCAGTCTGCATGCGGCGAGCCGGAGCGGGCAGCAGGGCAGCCTGTGTGTCCTTCTATGTGCATGTGCCTGTGCGTAGCCGTGTACCTGTGGCACCTGTGTGTGTCTGCCGGGTTGCTCTTTGACTCTTCCTCCTCAAAGAGACAATGAGAGTCTCCAGGACAAAGTTGTAGACCCAGATCAGTAATCCCATGGCACCGAGAAACTGAAAACCCATCTGCAAGCCCATCTTTCTGTTCCAAATTCTTCGGTGCAAAGGGCAAAAGGGAGGTCTCCCTTTGGTCTCAGCTCCCCTGCACGGCTGCCGGGGACAGACCTGCTGGCATGCTGGGACAGCCTGCATCCCCCTGGCTCTCCTCTGGCTCTGCCTGCCTCTGCCTTGCCAGCTCTGGGCACCCTCACTGCTGTCCCTCCCCCACAGGTGGACACAATCCTGTTTGCAGAGTTCCAGTCCTGGAGGGACTCACCCACCCTGGACAAGACTTGCCCCTTCCTGGAAAGGGTGTACCGGGAGGACGTGGGCCCCTGCCTGGACTTCACGATGCAGGAGGTAAGGCAGGGAGAGGGCGGCCGGCTGCAGGCCCAGGCCCTCCACCTTCAGCTGAGACCCAGCCCCTTACCACCTGCTGCCACCCTGGTCTGCTGCAGCTCTCGGCGCTGGTACGGACTGCTGTGGAGGACAACACGCTCACCATCGAGCCCGTGGCTCTGCAGACACTGCCTACAGTGAAGGTGGAGTGTGGCAGTGCCAAGTAAGCTTAGCACCTTTAGCCCCTTTTTGCCCATTTGGGGAAGCCCTACTGAACCTGGGCTGCATTGGTTTGGGGTGGGAGGTTGGGACCAAGTCTCAAGCCTTGGGGCCCTGGTGTGGGGCCATACATGGGCAGTGGCTGTGGCATGCACAGGGCTGGGGTTAAAGGGTCACCTGACAGGAGACACAGTTCTTTTCCCCACACAAGGGGAGGAGGCATCTTGGGCAGAGATCTCTGTCTCCAGCCATGGACCCCCAGGGTCTCCAGGGAGTCCAGGGCTGGGGCTCCCTCTTCCTGGCTGGCCTGAAACGCATCCCATCCCCTCTCCCCGAGGTGGATTCTGGGTGCCCATTTATGGCTCTGCCTTCTGCCAGTGACTAACCCACAGCCCTGGCCTCATGTCCTCCTTCCTACTCAGCTGGCATTGGGCAGGATTAGCAGCAGAATGGGGGCAAGCAAGGAGCAGAGATCGGGAAGGATCCCTCCCTTAGAAGCCCAAGATCTGGCCTGGGAGGGCCCGTGCCATAGCGGGAGCCTCGTCATGGAGAGGGAATGCTTGGGCCAGATTTTGAAGGATGAATAGAAGCTTTCCAAGAAGGAAGGGGCCTTTCGGGCAGAGGGTACAGAAAGAGTGGAGGTGTGAGGGGCTGGGGCATCAACAGAAACACCACTCGGTCAGCTGGCAGAGCGGTGGTGTGGGAGGGGAGTTGGGGCTGGAGCTGCAGTGGGTGTTCAGGATCCGAGGGAAAAGCCTATGAGGCCAGTGTTTCATTAACCATCACTAGATCTCCCCAAAAAGAGGGCATTGGGCTGCCCGCAGAGTCCTGGTGAAGCAGGCGGCAGCCACACTCACTGCCTGCAGCCGGGAGCTTTTAACCTTCCTTTGCTCGGGATCCTCCTTAACTACTTCCTGGGCTACAGCAAAACGGCTGGGAAAGGTGACGGATCAGACGTGGATTTGGAGGTGCCCTGGCTATAATGCGGCGAGAGGGGAAACGAGGCAGAGATGATGAGGGGACCCAGGCAAAGGGCCCTGCTAGCATGAGCAGCAGGGAACTTGGTGACCATGCTGAGGGTGAGGAGGGAGAGCCCCAGAAGTACTTACAGAGGCAGGGGCCAGCAGAGGAGCAAGACCTGGGAGTGAGAATCAGAGAGCAGGCTGTTCAAGGCCTGACATGGAGGTGACCAAAGATGCTGAGTGAGGTCGCCCACTCAGGGAGAGACAGGCGAGAAGGTGACACAGGGCGAGACTGACTGGCTGAGAACCATGGAGGGGCGAGTGGAGACAGAGGCCACGGATGCTCAAGGCAGGCGAGCACCTTGGTGTTGAGGGCAAGGCAGTCCGACCCCAGCTCCTGCTTAGCTGGGGAGGGAGTGACTGGTCTGAGGTCCTTGGTGAACAGGAGGGGTAGTTTAGAGGCTGCGGAGGGCAGGCTTTTGGCGCTCCTGGACTGGGGCTAACCAGATTCTCTTATCCAACAGAGGCCAGGTCTGGGAGTCCAGCTTGGTTGAAAGATTCATGTCAGGGTCCTCTGGTCCTGGTCCTGGCCCTGGGCTCCTTTGGATGCTGCAGGAGGGGAGGCCTGGCCCCACCCCACATCCCCTGCCAGACCCTCCCGCTGGGCATCCTTCTGGCTGCTGCCTCCTCCCTGGTGAACCAAGTGGGCATGCCCCAGCCAGCCCCTATGCCCCATCTGCTTTTCCCCCAGCACATGTGCCCTGAGTGGCGGCTTGGGGACTCCGAGAGCCACTACTACATTTCGCCATCCTCCCGGGCCAGGGTGAGTCAACCTTCACCAGTGTCCCTTGGCTACTTTGGGGTTACCTGGGCTGAGACTCTGGTGCTCCAGGCCTGACAGCACCACCAGGACTTCACCTAGCTCTGCAGAGCAGGGGACAGGCTCAGAGAGGTACAGAGACAGACTCGGACCACATAGCCAAGACAAATATAGTAGTCTGCTTTGCTGCAAGACCAAGGACCATAGACTTGGGGACTCAATACAACACACTCTCCCATGGTTCCCCTAGGAGGGGAGTCTGGGCTCGGCTCAGCTGGATGCTCTGCTCAAGATTCATAAGGCCGCAGTCAAGGTGCAGTTGGTGGCGTTCCTTTCTGGAGTTCAAGCTCTCATGGCTGTTGGCAGAATCAGTCCTTGTGGTTAAAAGATCGAGATCCCTGTATTCTTTTTTTTCTTTCTTTCTTCTTTTTTAGAGAGATTTTTGCTATAAGGTGTATGTGCTTGCCAGAGAGACAGAAAGCAAGAAATCACCTCCCAGTGGGAGTGGCTGCACCGCAGTGCCTTCTCCATTCTCCTCTTAGGATCTTGGGTATACACATACACATGCCCAGCGTGAGTTTTAAACTGCAGGGCCCAGGACTCAAACTGCAGTTGACTACACAGGAGTTCATTGACATAACCATTATGCCACCTGCCCACTCCAAGGTCTCTGTATTCTTTTATTCATTTCTTTTTGTTTTCTTTTGGGGGGAAGGGGGAGGGTTTTTTGTTGTTGTTGTTTTTGTTTTTTTGCTGCAGAGCACGTGCACGTGCCAGAAAGACAGAGAGAGACAAAGAGACGGAAAGCGAAAAATCACCCGCCGGGGTCGGGGTTGGGGAGGGATGCCCACGCTGCAATCCCTTCTCCTCCATTCTCTTCTCAGGATCTTGGGCACGCACGCACATGTGCCCAGCATGAGTTTAAGCCACTGGGTCCGGGACTCAAACCACATTGACTACATGAGAGTCCAGCAACATAGCCATTATGCCAACCGCTGGTCCCCATTTATTTATTATTTGCCAGAGAGACTGAGGGAGTGGGAGAGGAGAAAGCAACCCCATGAGGGATGGCCACGCCATAATCCCTTCTCCTCCATTTCTCCTCTTTCCAGGATTTGGGGTAATGCACACACACTTAGTGTGTTTCCCAAGCTTCTGGGTCTGGGACTTAAACCACATGGTTGGCCACATGAGATCCAGATGCCTTAACCACCAGGCTATGGAACCAGCCCAAGGTCTCTGTATTCTTGCTGGCTGTGGGCCGGGGATGCTCAGCTCCTGGAGGCTGTCCACAGTTCCCTGTTGGGGGGCCTTCTCTCAGCAGGGCAACTTCTTCCCAGCCCTCAGGAGGCTTTTTCTCCATCTGCTAAGACACAGCCTCCCGTGGAGCGGCATCTGTCACCTCTGCTGTTTGATTAGTGAACTAATTAAGAGCGTGACGCGCGTTCAGGGCAAGGCTCCAGGAATGACTCCCGGGGCAGAGAGTTCCAAGCTGTGTCTGTACTACAAGCCCGTGGTCAGTCGTGGATGCCAAGGGGCTCCAGGATCCCAGGATCCCCTCTGTGTGACCCCAGCTGGGCCAGGGGCCCTTCCCAGCTGGGCATTGAGGATGAGGGTACCCATTCCTCGGTCCCCCATTGACTGTGAAAAGGACAAAAAGGAACAAAAGAGAATGGTTTTGCAAGCTCGCAAAGTGACCGTGAGAGGACCGTCTCCCCTCAGGCCACCTGAGCTCTTCGGGGGAGTAGGACTAGTGGACAGCATGGCCGCGTGGCCAGCAGCAGAGGCACTGTGAGGGCTGTGTGCCTGGGCCTTCAGTTCCTGCAGGTGTCCACGTGCGTGTGTCCACGCTCCGTGCCGTGCCTTCTCCAGCTCAGCCCATCTGCCGAGAGGGTGCCTGAGCCTTGGCCAAGGAAGTGGGTGTGGCCCCCACATGGCCTAGACCTGGGGCCTCGACTCCAGGTCTCTTCTCACTGCAGTCCTTTCCCGGGGATTCATACCCAGCACCTTGTTCAGTGGCCACAGGCTCCCATGGCTCTCTCTCCATCCCTGTGCCCAACAGTTCCACGCCAGACGTCTGTTGTTTTCTGGCCTGGGTGCCCAGCTGTGCTGGGGATGGGAGATAGGATAAAAAAGGTCTAAAGTCTTAAGATGTGACTGCCACCCTGAGAAACCACAGGGAGAAGCACTCTCTCTCCAGAGTTCAGCCCTGGGGAGAGAACACCCTCTGTGCCCCACCTGCTCACGGGCATCCCAAGGGTGCCTACTGTCCACAGCATATCACCTTCCAGACCTGGCCCCGAGCAACTTCCATCACCATCACCCTCTGCCCCACCTCCCCATGCAGCTCCACTTGGTGTCTCACCACGTTAGCCCCCCGACCTGGCTGTGCTGTCTCCTTCCCCACCTTTGCTAGGCCACTGACCCCCTGCAGCCCATCTGCCCTCCTGGCCAGTTCTGCTGTGTCTGAGGCCCATAGAGAGCACTGCCTGTGGTGCCTCACACCTGACACCAGGCGTTAAGGTGCTGTGGTGGGCACAGCTGTCACCTGCTTCCCACCCTGTCCCCCCACAAGGGGAGCTTCTGTACAACCATCAGGGGAGTGAGGAAGCTGGGTTGGGGACCTGGGGAAGGCCCAGTGCTGTGGGTTCAAGCTCAGAGCGAGGGACTGACCTTTCAGACTGCAGCAGTCAGTCATTGGTGGTCTGTGGTGGCAGGAAGTGCAGAAAGGGGACACCCATGAGCCGTTAGTAACTAACACTCAGTGGCTAGGAGTTGGGACCCCAGGCTGGCACCAACAGTGCCTTCTTCATGGACTCGCCAGAGCCTGGTACAGGGTCTGGCATGGAGTCTCAGGCCATGCTGGGGACCAGGGACAGCTCAGGTGAGCGGCTTCTGACCCCCTTGCCTTTGCAAGGATTACAAACTGCACTTGACTTAGGCCTGGATATCCAGAACAAGGGGGCCAGTTGGGGGTGAGCATAGGTTCTGGGTGGCCTGCCTGGTTTCATCTCTCATCTCAGCCACTTATTAGCTCTGAGGTCTCTACAGTCGTCGGCTGATGGCTTCATTCCTGGTGGCTCAGTATTCCCTGCGTGTGGAATGGGGGCCCTCTTCCTCCTTCGTACACATGCCTGATTAAACAGTCGTTGCCAGGGTTGCTAGAAGCCATGCTACTCCTGCTGTTAATAAAACTAAAGCCCAACCTGTCCAGGTCAGGGGGCACTACCTGGTACTGGAGACTTCTTGCTCTGGTCTTGGATTCGCACGGGTGCATAGGGGATCCCTGGGAGTCAGGGCTGGCAGGTCACACCCTCCCTACCCTTGTCCTGTCTCTAGATCACCGCAGTGTGCAACTTCTTCACCTACATCCGCTACATCCAGCAGGGCCTGGTGCGGCAGGACGGTGAGTGCCCCCTGGTGGCCAGTGGAGGGATGGGGCCCGGGAGAGGGGCGGGGCAGGCAGGAGCCTCCTGGGTCTACCTGCCCCCAGTCAAGGCAGGACCTTAAGGTTTCTCAGGCAGGAGGCCAAGGAGGGGAAGGAGGGAAGGAAGGGCTCACGAACCTTCTGGGTGGTATCATTCTCAGGCCTGGGGCCTCCACTGTTGAGTGTAGGGGATCACATGCATGTTTGTCTGCATCAGGCTGGGGGTGGGTGGTGACTGTCAGTGTGATGGGCACAAATCCCTCAAGTATGTTCAGCATTCAGTAGTTTCCAAGGCTCAGGGGGGTCCAGCCACTCACTGAGATCATCTATCCTGGGGGTTCTGGGAGCCTAAAGCCAGAGAGGGCCAGGAATGCACCGGGAGTGACCCTGAGCTGTCCTCAGCCTGTCCCCTCCCTCTCTGCCCACAGTGGAGCCGATGTTCTGGGAGATCATGAGGCTGAGGAAGGAGATGTCGCTGGCCAAGCTCGGCTTTTTCCCCCAGGAGGCCTAGCACACGGTCCAGGCCTGGAGGGGGCTCTGAGTGGAGCAAACACCTGCCCCAGGACGCCAGTCGGGAAGACAGGTTCCTGCCCGAAGCCAGAGCCGAAGAACAGACCAGTGGCCAGGCCACGGAGACAGGGCAGAGCCAGCAATGGACGTCCATTCCAGGACAGACGCAGGGACAGACCGCTTGGGCTTCATGAGGTGACCCCTCTTCTCTGCGTTCTGCAACCACCAGGAGGCTTTCAAGAAAGCGTGAAAGGCCAAGAAGCTTGGAGCCGTACTCTGAGAGCTCAGCCCTTGGGAGGGGACCCCTGGGCCAGCCAGCACTCCCCACCCAGCCCCCGCAGCAGCTATCTGCAGGTGCCTTGTTGCCACCACCTTCGCAGAGAGGGACTGTCCTGGCTTGGCTGCATCTCCAGGACATCCAGCGCTGCAGTTCCCAAGCCCTGGCCTCTATCACCCCCTGGTGGCCATCCCTCAGCCAGTTCCCAGGTGGCTTCCCTGTTGGACTGCCCCAGTCACCTGTGCCGTCCCAAAGGCCCACAGGCAGCAGAGCTAGGGAGGGCTGGCAGGGCTCTCGCAGCTCTCTCCGGCCTGTGTGTGGTTGAGAACTGCCCCAAAGTGTTCTTACGATGTCAGGGCCCATCCTCCCTCCCTTCTTCTCTTGACCTCACCTGTCACCTGCCTTCCTAATCGCAGGCCTGTGCTCCAGGAGGCCCTTCTCTGAAGTCTCTGGAAGGATTGGGGCACTCTTCTCCCAAAGTGAAGAGACAGAGCTTGTGGGTGGCCGTTCAGACAGCAAGGGCCCCTGCAGGTAGGGCAGGGCTGGGGCAGACAGGACTTCACCCTCCCTCAGCCATTACAGCCCACTCAGGATCAGAGTTAGGGCCTCCCACCTGGACACATCCCTCACCACATTCGGATTTCCTTCTCTGGATGGAATGTAACGCGATCTCTATTTAATAAAGGAAGGCTTTGTTGGTAGAGGCTGGGTGGCCACGCGCCTTCACTCCTGCACCCTGGGGCTCTGGCCAAAGCTTGGGCATCTGAAGGAATGAAACCAAATCCTTTCCTTGCCCGCCCTCGTGCTTGGGATTAAACTCAAATCCTGAAGCCACCTTCCCACTACCACCACCAGTTACGTGCTACGGGGAGGACCGTGGGGCTGTGGGTTATGAGGGATGAGCCTAGCCTCCTCCTCCTCATCCTCCTCCTCCTCATGAGGAGTGGCCTACCAGCACACGGGCTGGCTCTACCTCGGCATCCCTGTGGCACCTTGGGTGGTTCCTTCCTCTGGGTCTACTTGCCCTCAGGGATGGCCAGCTCTGATCTGATAGAAGCCTGGAGCTCAGAGTCAATGCATGGAGGCAGCCTGGCACTTGGCAGGATGGTGACAGGATGGACTGGTGATGCCTGCTGGCAGTGTACTCAGGGACTCTGGAAGCTCTGGGTTTCCCAGCCCAGGTCTTACATAGGTCCTCAGTAAGGGGCAGCATAGTCACAGGTGAAAGAAGATGCAGGAGGCCAGGACCTTTGAAAACCCAGAATAGGGCCCGGGAGGTGTCTTGTGGTGCCTCACCCCTCACTACCTGTAGAGGTGCAGGCCCAGACAGGTGTCTTTCCTGGGGGTGGGCGCAATTGCTTCTGGGTTAGCTCAGTGTCTGCTGGAGCTGATGATGGTTCACTTCCCTATCAGCCTGAGGCCTCAGGGCCACCCAGCTGGTAGACTGGACCAGCCAAGGGCTGACAGGATCATCAAGCCCTCCAGCCTGTCACCCTTGCTAGCCAGAAGCCTTTCCCTGGGAAGACTCCTACTTTGGCCTCCATGCCCTCCGTTCCATCTGTGGTTTGAATCCTTCCTCTCTCCCCAGCCCCCATAGATGTTCACCAGCCAGGCCTCCTGTCACATTCATTCATTCACTCAACAAATGCTAGGCACCTCCTACGTGCTGGACATGGACACTGCCCTGATACTGGGGACACCCGTGCTTGAGCTGAGAGTATCAAGGAGGGAGACTGGCAAAAAACAAAACAGAACAAAACAACAATAACACACAGGTGTCAGATGGGGCAAGGAAGGCATCAGGGAGGGGTGTGAGCTGCCAGGTCCCATGGGTAAACCTGCCATCCCCGCTGCAGAGCACTCTCCATCCTCTGGGGGCTGAAGGAAGATGGAGGTCTGACCCTTCCGCTTCTGTGCCCAGCCATACCCAAGACCAGGGAGACACAGGGCAACACTTTAGATACCTGGCAGAAGGTCCCATGCCCCACACGTGCTCCTCCTGCCCCTGCAATAGCATTTTCTGTTGTCAGGCCCCAAGTGAGGCCATTGTGAACAACTCGGGGGACGTGAACACTCGGACCAGTGTTTTCCGACTGTAGCTACTATCTGAGCATTGACTGTGCCAGGCACAGGTCTAAGCCCCACACATGTGCTAACTTACAACCTGACCAAGTATTAATCTGACTATCCCCACTTTGCACGGAGGCCCCATTCAGGAACGGTGGCCCCAGGGTAGGAATGGCGAGCCTTGCTCTCAAGCCCACAGTGCTCACGGCCGCCTAGTGCCCTTACAAAGCACCTGCAGTGTGTCGGCGAGCCTTGCTCTCAAGCCCACAGTGCTCATGGCTGCCTAGTGCCCTTACAAAGCACCTGCAGTGTAAGTGCTACCGCATCAGGCCCTTCCCTGTTTTATGAGATAGAGAAACGGAGGTTCGGACAGTGGCAGAGCCATCATTTGAATCTAGGTTTGTTTCTACAATCTTTACCCCATTCCAGCTGTCCCCACTGCGGCTCCACAGTGTGTATGGGATTGGGGGAACCTTCTGGAGAACCTCTTGGAATTGGCTGGGAGGATTAGCCGCCAACAGCCCCAGAGCAGTGGTTCCTAGTACATTTTCTAGATAACCTATTTGGGCTTCTCTACGGCCCCCTGGCATAGGTGAGTCATGCCACCCTCCTTAACCACCTTTTCCAAGCTAGCGCCAACTCTGTGGAGCTAAACCTGGCACGCCTTCCAATCACCAGGCCCGTCCTACTTGAACCCAGCAGGTGCAAGTCATTCCTCTCCAGGCCTCCGTTTTCTCATCTGTGAGTTGAGAAGATTGGGCTAAATGGCCTTTGCCACTTCTCCTCTTTTTCACTTTTTAAATTGCAACTTAAAAATATATAACGTAAGACTTGCCCATGTTTAAGTGCACAGTCCAGTAGCGTGAAGTACATTCACATTGTTCCGAAACAGATCTGCAGAACTATTTCGCTTTATAAAACCAAAACTCTGGCCCCACCAAGCAGCTCCTGACTGGTTGCCCCTGACAACCATCATCCTCGTTTCTCTCTGTATGAATTTAACTAGTCTAGGTACCTCAATATTCTTCTAGTCCATTCCGTTGCTGTTAACAGGAAATACCTGCAACTGGGCAATTTATGAAAACAGAGGCCTATTCAGCTCACAGTTTGGAAGTCAAGGTTCAGGACGCTTCCTGGTGGGTTCCTCCATCTGCATCAACATGGCACAGGCAGGAGTGTGGTCTGCATTCCACGGCGCCCTCTGCATTCCCCCTCCTTATAAATCTGCCAGGAGTCAATCCTGGGGGCCCTGCCCTGCTGACCTTAATCCTGATCCCTTCCCTAAAGCCCTACCTTTCAACACTGTAACTGGATCAAGTTTTCACCCTCTTAATCCCCTGACAGTGGCTCAACACATGAATTGGGGGGGGAGCGCATATTCAAACAATAGCACTCATAGAAATGGAATCATCCAGTGTCTCTGTGACTGGTTATTTCACCTAGCGTAATGTCCTCAAGGTTCATCTATTGTCGTATGTTGTAAAAATGCCCTTCTTTTCAAAGGCTTGCTAGTAGGTCATTATGTGGATAGACCATGTTTTTTTATCCATTCATCTGTGGATGGACGTGTGGGTCGTTTCCACCTCTTGACTGTTGTGGGTAAGGCTGCTGTGACCCTGTGTATACAGGTATCTTCTCAAGACCCTGCTTTCCGTTCTTTCACGTATGTACTCAGAGTGGGATTGACGGGTCACACGGTAATTCCAGTTTTCTTTTTCTTTTTTTTATTTTTAGGCAATGGTGGCTGCCCCATTTTACATTTCTACCAACAGTGTACAAGGGTTCCAACTTCTCTACATCCTCCCCAACTGTTGTTATTTTCTGTGTGTGTTTTAGAGAGATTTCTGCTATAGGGCATTGTGTGCTCACCAGAAAGACGGAGAGATAGAAAGCGAGAAATCAACCCCCAGGGAGGATGGCCACACCACAATCCATTCTCCTCCATTTTCTTCTTGGGATTTTGGGCACACACACACATACACCCGGCATGAGTTTCAAGCTGCTGGATTTGGGACTCGAACTGCAGTCGACCACATGGGAGTCCCCAACGTAACCATTATGCCATGTGCTGGTTGCCTGTTTGTGTTTTTAAAAATAGTCGCCATTCTTACAGGTGCTAGGTGATATCCCATGTGGTTTTGAATGCATCTCTGATATTAAGGATATGGCCTCTTTTCAAATGTGTGTGGGGGGTGACCCCTTCATACTATGGGGCATTTAAGAAACTCTTCCCTGCCACTACAGTGCTGCCTTTGGGAAGGATCTTTTGTACAGGTAGGGCCAGGTCCCTGCCCTAAATGGCCTTAAGCAGCCCTTGCTAAGTTCTGTGGCCTCTACTGCCCCAGGCCCTCTCTCCTCAGAACGGTGGTGTTCGGGGCCTACATAACCAAGCATGTGATGAGCTTTGTTTTCTTCCCCCAAGGTTTTTGCTATAAGGGCATATACACTCACCAGAGACAGAGAGATCGCAAGACAGCACCCCCTGGGGGGATGGCCACACCACAATCCCTTCTCAGAATTTTGGGCACGCATACCCAGTAACTTAAAAATCAGTCTGGGACTTGACCTGTGCAGTCGGCCATGAGGGATCCAGCACCTTAACCTTCATGCCACCTGCTGGCCCACAGAGTTCTGCGCTTTAACTCAAAGCCGAATCACAAAGCAACTGACTGGGGCCTTTCTTGTGTGTGTGTGTGCTGCAAAAGAAGGGCCTGGCTTTTATAACATCTTTCAGGAAAAACCAGAGCGTTTTCCTAAGTTTGCCCGACCAGGCCCCTGTGGTGCCTCCGCAGCTTGCCTGAGCCCCAATACCACAGCACAAACATCACAGGACAAGAGCTGGCTGCTCCCTAGGGGATGGAGAGTTCAACAAGAGGCCCGTGTGGCAGCTCATGACAAGAAGTCCAGCAGGGACTGAGGCAGGGGCTGCATTCGAGTGGTTTAAAGGATAACTCTCTAACCTCAAGCCTCCTCTCAAAGAACGACTCCAGCTGGCTAGCCCCCCACCCCCCGCACTCCTCACATGCTAGCTCTGACCCAAAGGCAGCTCAGCAATGTCAAGTGATGTCTCTCCTTTTCCAAATGGTCTGAGAGGCCTTGGTGGCCTGACTTGGGTGTGTGGGGACAACAGAGTCCCAAGTTCCCCCGGTCTCCCTGACTCTCTGAGAGTTTCAAGACCCACTGATTGAAGCCCAGAGAGCTAAAGCAACCTAGAGCCTACAGAGGGAGAATGTGGGAAGCTGTTCTCTGGGCTGTGGGAGGAGACACAGTTCAGGCTTCATGGGAATGAAGTGGCTGGAAGGGCTGGCAGAGCACAAGCCCTGTCCTCGCTCCACCTCCTGGGGTACCCCATCCAGGCCTTCATCTTCCTCATCTCTCCTGCGGCAGCTGGGGCTGGCGGACATTCTTTTTTTCTTTTCTTTTCTTTTTTCTTTTTTTTTTCTTGAGAGATTTTTGCAATAGGGTAGAGAGACAGAGAGACAGAAAGCAAGAAATCACCCCCCAGAGGGGATGGTCACGCCACAATCCCTTCTCCTCCATTCTCCTCTCGGGATCTTGGGCATGCACACACACACGCCTGGCATGAGTTTAAGCCACTGGGTCCAGGAGTTAAACCGCAGTCGTCAAAATGGGAGTCCAGTGACATAGCCATTATGCCATCAGCTGGTCCCTGGAGATTCTAACCTATCCCAACCCCAGCTACCTCACAATACTGCCTGAGACTAACCAGGGCCTGAGGGGGGGAGCCCCTGGACAATCCCTGGACTGGCCAAATCTGGTCACTGAGGGCTGCTGAAGATAGGGCCAGGGTCATGCACCCTCGGGACAGGCCAGGTTTGGTGTAGGGGATGTGTCTCTCCCAAGAGGCTGCTTTCTTCATCCCTGTGCAGGTGAACATGTGAGGCCAAGGATATCCGCACTCACCTCTGGCCTGGCCAGCCACAATCCTCTACCCGCTCACGCGAATGCTCGGAGGGGGTTCTAGAATTCAGTGGGACCCTCAGTGGAGGGGGCTCAGTCCCCATCCTTGCCGATGTCCTGGCCACTGTAGACAAGAGTTCCTGGTACCAGAAAAACCTAGAGGCCCTTTCTGCCCTTCTGGGCCACCCATTGCAAATATTAGCTACAATCATTTCCTACGAATTATTCAAACCGAGACAAAATGTTAGCATATCTATTGGCATATCAGCTGCACCTGGGAACCTGTCAGAAATGCAGTCGTCCGCTCCTAAACCAGCCCTACTGAATCATCCTGGGGGGCGGGCCCAGTGTTGTTTTTTTCCCCACCTGAGAGAGAGAGAGAGAGAGGAATATTTTTGAGTGTCTCACCGAGCCTCCTGCCCCAGTTACCTAGGATCATGGTGCCGACAACTGTGAGGGTTGTGTTCAGGGTGGTCAGGAGCCCCGTCCAGGCCTCCCACATGGATCACCGCCTCCCATGCACTATCTACACGCACTGGGGCAGGGCCGGCAGACTGCCTTTTTACAGAGAGAGAGAGATTTTTGCTATCAGAGTGCATATGCTGTCAGAGAGACAGAAGAGAGAAATCACCCCGATGCCACACACAGTCCCTTCTCCATTCTCCTCTAGGGATTTTGGGCACGCACGCATATGTGCCCAGTGTGAGTTTCAAGCTGCAGGACTGGGACCTGGGAGTCCAGTGCCTCAACCACTATGCCAAATCGGTATTCAAGCCTGACTACAGTGTAGGAGAACCTCAACCCGATTTTTTTAGAGAGATTTTTGCTATAGGGTTCATGTAGGAAAGACAGAAAACAGACACCCCCACTCCCCACCCCCGGGCTGATGGCCACGCAGCAATCCCTTCTTCGTCATTCTCATCTCAGGGTCTTGGGCAGCATACATATGTAGCCATCATGAGTTTATGCCTCCGGATGCTGGACTCGAACCTCAGTCAGCTATATGGGAGTCCAGCGATGTAACAATTACACCACCTGCTGGTCCCACCTCAACCTGAGTTTATTCCTTGTTGGCGTGAACTCTTAGCCTTCAGAACGGCTGTCTTTATCTTAAACTTGGGTGTAAGGAAGGTGGTAACAATCAAGCCTGTCTTCTCGCCCCGTGAAAGGCAGAGCTCACCTCCAGGCTCCGGTGCCCCTCGCACCACCCATCTGCGTCCTCCCTCACCCCCCCTCCCGCACGCCCAGCCCTGCATCCCGACAGCCCTGCATCCCGACAGCAGAGCCCAGCAGAGGGCTCCGCAGGAACCGCAGCTGTGGGGCGGCAGGCCAGTCTCTCCCTCCTGTGGCTTCGGCGCGAAGTTGGGGAAGAGTTTGAAGGCTGCTTACAGTTACCCCGAGGCAATAGCCCCCTGCCCCGCCTGGGCAACATTCCGGGACTCTGGCACATCATCACTCCAAGTCCCACCTGCACAGGCCCGGGCTCCGCCTGAGTCCCCGAGGGCATGGCCGGCGCCGCGCTCCGGATGCCGGGTGTGTGTACGGTTCCTGGCCCCCGACGCCGCCCTCCCCGCCGGCCAATGAAGCCGAGGCACGCGCTGGGATCGGAGCAGGCGCGGGCTGGCAGCGGGGGCCGGGACGAGGGGAGGCGAGGCGAGGCGAGGCGAGCGCTCTCACACGGTTATCAGGGGGGGAAAAGTTGCCTGCGCGGAGAGCTAGGCAGGCGCAGGCTCACACGGCGGCCGCAGCGGCAGGGCGGGGCCCGGAGCACCGGGCGGCGGCGCAGCAGCCTCGGAGCGCGACCTCGCTCCCCACCGTGACCCGCTCGGACCGCGCCACATCCCGGGTTCCAGAGACTTTTGCGCACTGCCATGGGTGGCATCGGGGAGCCCGGTGGGGGTCCGGGCCCGCGGGAGGGGCCAGCGCAGGCGGGGGCGCCGCTGCCCACCTGCTGCTGGGAGCAGATCCGCCCGCACGACCAACCCGGCGACAAGTGGCTGGTCATCGAGCGTCGCGTCTACGACATCAGCCGCTGGGCACAGCGGCACCCGGGAGGTAGCCGCCTTATCGGCCACCACGGTGCTGAGGACGCCACGGTAAGGAGCTGGCGGTCGCCCAGGCCTGGGTGGTGGGCAGTGTTCTGAAGGGCCTCAGCAGCCTTCCTTCCCTCGCTGACCTCTAACCTCCTTGGTTGAGACTCAGAGTTGTGATGGACTAGTCGGGGGCCTGACAGGGGATAAGGAGGTCACTTCCCTGCACGGGGACAGCAAGCTGTCCTGGAACAGGTCTTTGGGGGAGGAAGGGGCTCTCTGAGGTGGGTGTGCCATGGCCGACAGAATCTGCCCTAGGCAGTGCCCTCCCTGTTGCTCTGAGGTTCCTGTCTAAGTTCTGGGTCCCTCAGACCAAGTCATCCATGCTGGGTGCTTGCTGGGTTCTAGGGCAGACCAGGGTTCCCAGAGGTTGGCAGGGCTGGGGTGAGGTGCAAGGGTAACAAATCTTGGGCAGGGCCCAGAGGTCTGTGGCTTTCCCCGGAGCCACTGTAAACGTCTCCCAGGGGCAGTGATTCACCTCCCTTGGGCTGGCAGCTGGGAGGAGTTTGCCAGCCAGTCTGGGTGGGCCTCTCCGGAAGCACAGTCACCCTAGTAACTTGCTGGCCCCTAGAGATCCCGACTTTCCATTCCCAGCCCACGCCTAGACTAAGAGGGACGTGGCCTGGTCCAGTGGGCCCATCTGGCTAGAGCCCAGTAGTAGAACCATCTACTGGACAAGACTTTGCAGCCCTTTTCCTCTGTCCCCTGCCTAGGGAGTAGCCGGTCGGGCCACAATGCCCTGTTCTTGACCATCCCAAATTCTAGGTTGGGTAGCAGGAAGGCCTTTGAGACCCAAGAGGATGAGCCCCTCGCGGCTGGACTTTAGGCAGCAAGTCCTGTCCACTCCCAGGACCATCAGCATCCCTGTTACTGGGGCACCTGCTCCCTGCCCCTGCCTTGCTATGGGATAGGCAGTCTTTGTTGGATTCCTTTAGGGAGAAAAAGTCTCTCTTCCCAATTCCACTCCAGGAAGCTAAGAGGATGGGTTAAGAAGCCTTCTGAAACTCTAAAAACTGACAAAAGGCCCCATGTCCACGGGTGACAAGTGCTGGGTGCTGGCCCAAGGGGGCAGCACAGCCATGGGCTGACACAGCCTGCAGGCCAGTGCGTGAGTGTGCCTGGGCGTGGACACATGCATGCGTGTATTCGCGAGTGCCTGCGTGCATTTGTGAGTGTGGTTGGCTGCGTGTGCATTTCTGCCAGGGTGCAGAGGCTGGGAGGTGCCACAGCCCCACCCCGTAGTCTGGTTGATCCCTGGCCTCTCTCAGAGGGTCTTATGGATGCCCACCCTGCATGGGACAGGATGTGGGCAGGAAAGACTACGGAGAGTATCCATTAATCTCTTTTTTCTGCTTGGTGCTGGGCCCGTACTGGGGGATCCACTAGGATTCCCATCTCATATTTAGCTTCAGACCTTGAGATCTCCATTTAACCATGTTGTCATCAATTCGTGACCAACAACGTCTGTTTAAAAACTCCCTGCTTGAGGCCAGCAGGTGGCAGGGTGGTTAAGGTGCTGGCCGACTGTGGTTAGAGTCCTGGACCTAGCAGCTTGAAAAATCACACGAGGCGTGAGTGTGTGCACATGCTCAAAATCCCAGGAGGAGAATGGAGGAGAAGGGATTGCGATGTGGCCATTCCCTCGGGGAGTTATTTTTCACTTTCCCTCTCACTGTCTCTATCTGGTGAGTGCACACACCCTATGACAAAAACCTTAAACACACACACACACACAAACCCCTTGAATTGGGCCCGTCGTGCCTCAGATGGAGAGCCACAGTGCCTCAGTTTCCCCATGTGTACAGTAGGGGGTCTGGACCAGACTGGGCAGACCCAAGGGCTGCGGTGTAGTGTTTATGTTCAGTAAATGTTGCTGGCTGCTAACTGTGGAGTGCAGTGGGACAGCCCTGGCATAGCTGCCCCTTTGCTGGGTTCTGGCTGTCTTTAATAGAGAGGTTGCTTTGGGCCCTCTCTTAGCCCCCTCAAGGCCCCAACACTGGGCTGAAGTTGCCAGAAATACCTGGTCGGTTTAGGCCAAAGAGGTTTTGAAGTGGCTGGGTTGGAAGACCCCGGGTTTTGTCCACGATTTGCTTACAGGGCAGAGCAGGGGTTTGACCAACCTGGTGCCTTGTGTGTCAGGCCCAGACCCCAGGCACCCCATCCCAGGCCTGCAGCTCCATCGGGGTGGGGCAGTCATCTTGCCAGGCTGTGCTCTGGCTTCCACCTCTCATCAGCCCCTGCCACCCATCAGCTGTTCTCACGTCCAGGCAACAGGAGCCTTCTGCCAGGAAATTCTCCGCATTTCTGTGCCATGAAGCCAGCTTGTGGCCATCCTGGGATACAAAGTCTGATGCCCTGGGGAAAGCACTCTGGGCTCTGGGCCAGGTTCATCTAAGAGTCACAGACAGTCTGAGACTAGTGGAGCCAGCCAGGGAGGGATGAGGTCCAGTCACTGCTGGTCACACGCAGACAGGAATCAGTCATGACTGAGCATCAGCCTTGTGCCAGGCTCCAAATTTGGTGCTTCACTTATTGACGGTTTCTCTGTTAATCCCCAAGACCCTCTAGGAAGCAGGTACTATCATTGTTATTTCTACTTCACAGATTTAAAAATTGAAGCTCAGAGAGGCAAAGTGACTTGAAATTAAGTGGTAGGTCTGGGATTTGAATTCATAACCATTCTTTCAACCACATGCTGTGGGTCACTTAGTTGTTTGTTTTAATCATTCTTTTTTTTTTAGAGAGGTTTTTGCTATAGGGCACATGCACTTGCCAGAAAGACAGAGAGAGACAGAGAGACAGAAAGCAAGAAATCGGCCCCCAGAGGGGATGGCCACGCCACAATCCCTTCTCCTCTGTTCTCCTCTCGGGATCTTGGGCACGCATACACACAGGCCCAGCATGAGTTTAAGCCACCAGGTCTAGGACTCAAACCATGGTCGACTATATGGGAGCCCAGTGACATAGCATTACACCAACTAACTGCTGGTCCCTTAGTCATTCATTTTTTAAAAAATTTTTTCCAAAGTATATGCTGCTTTTGGGACCAGCAGGTGGCATAATGGTTACGTTACTGGGGTCCTGCATGGCTAACTGTGGTACTAGTTCTAGACCCAGAGGTTTGAAACTCACTCCAGGCGCATGTGCATGTGTGCCCAAAATCCCACAAAGAGAATAGAGGAGAAGGGATTGTGGTATGGCCAGCCCTCTGGGGAGTGATTTTTCTTGCTTTGTATGTCTCTATCTCTCTGGTGAGCACACATGCCCTATAGCAAAAATCGCTCTCTCTAAGAAAAAGAGAATATGGGGAACCAGCAGTTAGCGTAATGGCTATGTTGCTGGATTCCCACGTAGTCGACCGCGGTTCGTGTCCCGGACCCGGTGGCTTCAAATTCACGCCGGGCGCGTGTGCGTGCGTGCCCAAGATCCCGAGAGGAGAATGGAGGAGAAGGGATTGCGGCCTGACCATCCCCCCTGGGGGGTGATTTCTCGCTTTCTGTCTCTATGTCTCTCTCTGTCTGTCTGGCGAGCGCACGCGCTCTACAGTGAAAATCTCTCAAAAAAAAAAATGAAAAAGAGAATATGTTGCTTTTAAGTTTATTTGTCATTGATTGAGAGATAACCAAGAGAGACAGGGACCCCCAGCAGGGCCTTCACATGCCCCATCCTCCTCCTAGCCTTTCGACCAGCCTGGACCAGCCAGATGTGTCCAGGTTGACTCAGGAACTGAACTCAGGGTCTTGCCATATGGCTCTAGTATTGCCTAGCAGTACATAACCCCTGCATCAGTGTGTTGAGCCTGAGTCATTCTTCAGTGATTGAATCATTAAATCCATCCACGAGCATTCCCTGTTTGCCACACTGTTCTAACCTCTAAGGCAGGAGTTGTGAGCATCATAACTACAGGAAGGGAGTTCCCACAGAGGGACGAGCCAGTGCAAAGGCTCGGAGGTGAGACCTTATTTCCTGTGTTCAAGGAATACAGTGAGGCCACAGAGAGAGCAATGGGGAGAGCACTGGGCAGTGGGGCTGGGAGGCAACAGGGCTGGTTCCTGTCAGATGTTATGCCCTGGGCAGGGCTTTGGTTTTATTCTAAGGAGAAGGCACAGCCATGGAGTGCAGAGCCAGGATGCCAAGGGAATCCGGCGTTTAAAAGAATCCCAAACAGAGGAGGAGGGAGACTCCTAGAAGAAGACAGGAGGCTAAGAGAAGAATGACGAGGGGGTTACATTCAGAACAGTTGAACATTCAGCTGGACTCAGGGCAGAGGGCAAGAGATGCTGTGGACACAGGCATACCAGAGGGAACTATTAATATTTACCTCTATGTTGTCTTTACAGAGGGAAGCAGCCTAGCTCACCTTATGATCTTGGACACATCCATTCCCTTCTAGGTCTCAGTTTCCCCATCGGCGTAATGGAGATAAGAATGCTTTTGTCCTGGGCACACTGTGAGGATGGTGCTGGGCACTTAGGTGTCTGGATTCCATGGAAAATAGAGTTCTTTATCCTGGGAGTGGTGAAGTCACTGCTTATAGCCCAACCAGGAGGGCAAGAGGTTTCCCAGCAGCCCCTGATGCCCTTTCGTTGAACCCAAGAGATATGGGAGGAGCTCTGATCCAGTCAAGCTTCTGAGCTCCCTCCATAGGACCTTCCCTCTAGTTGGCTCTCTGGATCTGACCTGAGGTGGCAGTAGGGGTGGCCAATGCTGCCAGCAGAGGCTACATCATAGCAATTCAGCCAATAGTTATTGATCAGGCACTTTTTGGTAGTTTTAGATATTGTAACTATGTTAATTCTCTGAACAACCTTATGAGACAGATCCTATCATTAGCCCATTTTGCAAATGAGGAGACTGAGACTGAAAATGTGCAATATAATGGCTTATTCTTGGGACTCTTGAGGGACAGAGCCTTCATCCTTGGGCTTAGAAGGTGGGGTTTGCATCTGGGTATGAGCTGGGGAAAGACAGAACTAGGACTGGGCAGATCTGAGGCAATGAGGGTG